TGTTGTTGTTGTTGTTGTTGTTGTTGTTGTTGTTGTTGTTAGTCGCGAAGTTGTGTCCGACCCATCGTGACCCCATGGACAACATTCCTCCAGGCCTTCCTGTCCTTCACTATCCCCTGGAGTCCACTTAAGTTCACGCCGACTGCTTCAGTGACTCCATCTAGCCACCTCATTCTCTGCTGGTCCCTTCTTCTTTTGCCATCTATTGTGCCCAGCATTAGACTCTTCTCCAGCAAGTCCTTCCTTCTCATTAGGTGGCCAAAGTATTTGAGTTTCATCTTCAGGATCTGGCCTTCTAAAGAGCAGTCAGGGTTGATCTCCTCTAGGACTGACCGGTTTGATAGCCTTGCGGTTCAAGGGACTCACAGGAGTCTCCTCCAGCACCACAGTTCAAAGGCCCCAATTCTTCAGCGCTCAGACTTCCTTATGGTCCAACTTTCGCAGCCATACATTGCAACTGGGAAAACCATAGCCTTGACTATACGCACTTTTGTTGGCAGGGTGATGTCTCAGCTTTTTAGTATGCTGTCTGATTTGCCATAGCTTTCCTCCCCAGGAGCAAGCGTCTTTTAATTTCTTGGCTGCAGTCCCTGTCTGCGGTGATCCTGGAGAACAGGAAAATAAAATCTGTCACTACCTCCATTTCTTCCCCATCTATTTGCCAGGAAGTGAGAGGACTGGATGCCATGATCTTAGTTTTCTTAATGGTGAGTTTCAAGCCAACTTTTGCGCTCTCCTCTTTCACCCACATCAAGAGGCTCTTTAGTTCCTCTTCACTTTCTGCCATGAGAGTGGTATCATCTGCATATCTGAGGTTGTTGATATTTCTAACAGCAATCTTAATTCCAACTGGTGATTCATCTAGGCCCGCCTTTCTCATGATGCGTTCTGCAAATAAGTTAACTAGGCAGGGCAACAGTATACAGTCTTGCCAAACTCCTTTCTCAGTTTTGAACCAATCAGTGGTTCCATGTCCAGTTCCCACTGTTGCTTCTTGACCTGCATATAGGTTTCCCAAGAGACAAAATACAAGAGACAAAGATGGTCTGGCACTCCCATCTCTGTAACAACTTGCCACAATTTGTTGTGATACACACGATCAAAGGCATTAGCGTAGTCAATGAAGCAGAAGTAGATGTTTTTCTGGAACTCCCTAGCTTTCTCCATGATCCAGCGGATGTTGGCAATTTGATTTCTAGTTCCTCTCCCTCTTTGAAAACCTGCCTGTACTTCTGGTAGTTCTCGGTCCACATACTGCTGAAGCCTAGCTTGTAGGATTTTGAGCATAACTTTGCTAGCATGTAAAATGAGTGCAATGTTGCAGTAGTTTGAACATTCTTTGGCATTGCCCTTCTTTGGGATAGGAATGTAAACTATCCTTTTCCAATCCTGTGGCCACTGTTGAGTTTTCCAAGTTTGCTGGCATAATGAGTGTAGCACTTTTACTGCATTGTCTTTTAAGATTTTGAATAGCTCAGCTGGAATGCTGTCACCTCCACTAGCTTTGTTGTTGCTCAGACTTCTAAGGCCCATTTGACTTCACATTCCAGGATGTCTGGTTCGAGGCCAGTGACCACCCCCTCATGGTTATCAGGGACATTAAGCTCTTTCTAGTATAGTTCTTTTGCCACCTCTTCTTAATCTCTTCTGCCTCTGTTAGGTCCCTGCCATTTTGGTCCTTTATCATGCTCATCTTTGCATGGAACGTTCCCTTCATATCTTCAATTTTCTTGAAGAGATCTCTGGTCCTCCCGATTCTGTTGTTTTCTTCTATTTCTTTGCACTGTTCATTTAAGAAGGCATTCTTATCTCTTCTAGCTATTCTCTGGAATTCTGCATTCAATTGGGTGTATCCTTCCCTTTCTCCCTTGCCTTTCACTTCCCTTCTTTCCTCAGCTATTTGTAAAGCTTCCTCAGACTGCCATTTTGTTTACTTGCATTTCTTTTAGTTGCTACCTCCTGTACAATGTTGCAAACCTCTGTCCATAGTTCTTCAGGCACTCTGTCTATCAGATCTAATTCCTTAAATCTATTTGTCACCTCATACCTCAGTGGCCCAGTGCTTTTCTCTACTTTCTTCCATTCAAGTCTAAATTTTGCAACAAGAAGCTCATGATCTGAGCCATGGTCAGCTCCTGGTCTTGTTTTTACTGACTGTATAGAGCTTCTCCATCTTTGGCTGCAGAGCACATAATCAATTTGATTTTGGTGTTGACCATCTGATGATGTCCATGTGTAGAGTCGTCTCTTGGGTTGTTGGAAAAGAGTGTTTGCTACGACCATTGTATTCTCTTGACAAAATCTACCAGCCTGTGCCCTGCTTCATTTTGTACTCCAAGGTCAAACTTGCCTGTTATTCCGGTTATCTTTTGGCTTCCTACTTTAGCATTCCAATCCCCCATGATGATAAGGACATCATTTTTTGGTGTTAATTCTAGAAAGTGTTGTAGGCCTTCATAGAACCAGTCAACTTCAGCCTCTTCAGCACCAGTGGTTGGGGCACAGACTTGGACTACTGTGATGTTGAATGGTTTGCCTTGGATTCGAACTGAGATCATTCTGTGATTTTGGAGACTGTATCCCAGTACTGCTTTTCCTACTCTTTTACTGACTATGAAGGCTATTCCATTTTTTCTGAGGGATTCTTGCCTGCAGTAGTATACCTGATGGTTACCTGAATTAAATTCACCCATTCCTCTCCATTTTAGTTCACTGATTCCTAAGATGTCGATGTTCAATCTTGTCATCTCTTGTTTGACCACATCCAGCTTGCCTTGATTCATGGATCTTACATTCCAGGTTCCTATGGAGTATAGATCTTTGCAGAATCAGACTCTCCTTTCACCACCAGATACATCTGCAACTGAGTGTCCTTTCGGCTTTGACCCAGTCACTTCATTCTTTCTGATGCTACTAGTACTAGCCCTCTGCTCTTCCCCAGTAGCATACTGGACAACTTCTGACCTGAGGGGCTCATCTTCTGGCATCATATCTTTTTGCCTTTTGGTGCTGTCCATGGGGTTTTCATGGCAAAGATACTGGAATGGGTTGCCATTTCCTTTTTGATTAGAGAAGAAAAATACAATGCTTCCTTACCTGACAAGAGTTTTATGATGAATTGCATACTAACATTATGAGATCATGTGTTTTCTTATAAAGAGAGTCAAAATTATTATCTGTCTAAATGAGGGGTCCCCAACATGGCACATACAGGACCTACAATGGTTCCCACACATTATCTACCCTCTACCACATACATACATACATACAGGGGGAGAGTGTGAGAGTGAACACTTAAAGAATGTTAAGGTGCTAGGTTCTCATTCCTGTTGCTGAACCTGCCACTGATCAGCTGTTTAGCAAGCTGGAAGAAGAGAAACAGGTTGTTTCCTGATCTCACCCAATCTTCATTCATGCACAGTACTCTCTCTCATTCTTTCAATCCACCACTTTCCCCTAGTCTTGCTGCTTCTCTTCAGATAACACCTTTCCCTTGGTATTTCTCTCCCTTTCCTGTCCCTAGAGTTCTTCTTTTCCTCCTTTCCTATCCTACCCTTGCCCCTTCTCTCCCATTAACCCCATTACATTCTCCCCTTCACCTCTTTACTGCTTCTCCCCCTTCTAGCCTTGCACGTTCTCTCCCCTGAACTATTTGCCTTACTATGCATGCATCCCCCACTGGCTCTAGCTTCAATATTTCTCCTTGCTCACCTCTTCTGACAAGCCAAGTCCCCATGGCAACCATTCTGTGATAATCCACACCCTCAATGCAAAACTATTTTGTACTGGTGCCCAAAACAGTTCCCAAATGTGCCTGCTGGTCTAGCTCATTACATTAACTCTGACCGCTGGAAGATCTCCAGGCTCTCAGCAGATCTTTTCCACTTCTGTTTCTTGCAAACATTCTAAACAAGATGCTGGGTATTGAATCTGGAGTCTTACGGAGGCCAATCATATGGTCTCTCAGCTCAGCTTCTTGAAGAGAAACTATTCCAAGGGCAATTAATAAGCTATCAGTAGCCCACTACTGCACTCAACAGAAAAGCAAGTGATATCTCAAAGGTACTTTTTAAAATCAGTGTGGTATAATGGTCAAGAGCACAGGACTCAGCCAATCTGGGTTCTGTCCACACAGCCATGGAACCAACTGCGGGTGACTTTGGGCCAGTTGCAGACTCTCAGCCCAATCTACCTCACAGGGTCATTGTTATGGCGTTAAGACTGAGAGCAGGGGGAGGAGAATGAGGTAAGATGCCTTGAGGTTTTTTTAGAAGGAAAAAAGGTGAAATATAAATCTAATAAAAAAATAATCAGTGCTGAGCAGACTGCTGAAACATTTACATTTGGTGTTTTGTAAATCATTATAAACCAAGTTTGAAAAATACAAGACAGCACAGAAAACACTGATATGCAATGATGTGACAACAATGGACAACAACTGCATCTGGATTCACTATAAACAAGGAGTGAACAAAAGATAATAACATCAATATAATCCGCTAGTGTGGAAGCAACTTAGACTGCAAAAAGAAATTCCATAAATTAAGACTACTGCCTCAGCCTTCAGAAGCATAGAAGTTTATTCTCAGAACAAATGAAGATTTCATGTGACAGAATTTTGAAGACTATTTCTTTACCCATAATAAACTTTAAAAGATGATGTTGCTTGAAATGTAAACTCCTTGCTTCTTCCTAACCAGATTCCAATTATTAACAATACTAGGTTTAATGTTTGCTTAGGAAAACAGTATAATGTACATACAGCAATAAGGAATATAACAGATTTACAGAGATAGCTATGCTTGCAAAATTTTTACCGAAGACCAAGAAATAGCTTCCTAGACCAAGTCCTCTTTGTCTATTAAACTAGTTTTCTGCACTAGTTCCTAGGCTCATGAAGTGTTGAATAGCCAACAGAAAGGTCCTTTAGAAGTGAGAATGAGTATACCAGACCAATGGATCATATTTCACTGGAGAAGTTGACGTGACACCTGCCTTGGGATGCTTGCCTGCCAGCCAGTACATTTGAGAAATCCATTAGGAAAGAATGTCTGTACAAGCTCCTGCCAAGCAAGCGCGTGCACACACACACACACACAGAGTGCAAGCATGAGCGAGCAACCTTCCTTCTTTACTTCATGTTCCTGTTTTATTTTGTACTCTTAACCATTTACACAGGATTTCAAAAACGCAATCCGATAAAATTAGGCATATCACAGAATTCTGTGAGTGACTCCCTTTTATCATACTGCTTGGAAATCACCACTTATGAGCCCAGAAAGAAGAATAATTCTGTTCAATATTAAATAGAAGAAACTAAGCCCGCATGCAACTAAAAGAAATGCCACATGTCTGACCTTTCAAGAAAGAAACTGAGATTTGGCTCTTATTCCTGTTTTAATAGATCAAAAAGGGTAGAGGGAAGAGGAACCTATTAAAAATAATAGTATGTCTTTCCAGTCTCTTTATGGCATAAATTTTATGCAATGGTAATTAACTATCCATCATCAATGAATAACTGCTGTGCACAGGGGTTACTATAATATCTCTTAAAGCAGGAGTGCAGAAACTACTTTTGGATGGGGGACTAGCTAATCCTTCACTCAGACCTCCATAGGCTGTATGACAGCAGTTGGACATGGATGTGGTATCAGTTAGAGAAGTTATGTATGTAGCTGCCACAGCTCCTCTACTGGGGAGTGGTGGTGACTAAGTCAGCTGTATCCTGTATTCACACAATCTGCCTCTTTCCCAAGAAGGAAGGAAAGTGTGTGAAGGAGAAGCAGCTGGGTCCCCTATGCATCTCTGTTGGAGGAGCAGAGAACTCACCTGCTCCAACAGTAGAAGGAATTTATCACCCTATGCCACGCTGATTTCTGTTGCTATCTCTAATCGTAGAATGGAATTAGCAGGGATGGGGGGCTTTGACAGTTGCTTATATGTAAGGACAGCATCTATTTTCCATGACATGGGTGAATTCTGGCACCTGCCATCCACATTCCTGATGGCTATCTTCAACTTGAAATAACAATGATGGTTCCACTACTGGCATGGTTCAACAGGGGAATCTCCATTGTTATCCCTGGTCAGAAAGAGTAGTGATGGATACATTCCAAGGGGATTCCTTCAGAGGGTTGGGATTGGAGTCTAGGGGCCACCACTTGGAGAAATCTCAGGAGGTTGCAGCTTATTGGGGAGCCCTGTGGGCTGGAGATTCTGCATCAAGCCTGTAGCTATTTTAACGGGTTTATTTCACAAACTCCTTGGTTTCAATACTGCTAAAAATATTGTCTGGCAGGAGTTAAATAACACACCCAAGCTTAAAAATGGAAACAACTTAGTGTAGCAACCATGACCTGGAAGAAAGTAGTCTTCAGGTGGTCCTACGGTTGCTGTTATACTAATACTTTTCATTTATGTAGTGCCATCAGGGTGACAGGCATTGATACACAATGTAGATAACTTCATATGAGTCATTAACCTCGGAGTGCTGTATTGCTTCGCAAGTATTTTGCTAAATTGCTTTTGACTAGCATATTCATGGGATTACCTTACTACATTTTGTAGCTCTACGTATGGCACACATGCTGAAAACGAGTTCAAGAAGTTTGAGAAGCAATGCCATAAGCAGAACATGGGCAGTTAATGTGATACCTGCAGGCACCAGTTTGCCATTGGACACTTCACTTGTGGCCCACCAAGGTAACCTACCCTTCCCACTTTATATTTATTTAAACCATTTTTATGCTGCCCCATTCGCAAAAAGCCTCGGGGCGGCTTACAACAATAATAAATAAACATAAATAAGTAATTTATACAATTAGAGTTAAAAAACCTGTTTCATACTGGCATCTGGGATCATTTCCAAATGATGGCCTCTAGCTATTCCATGTAGACTCAGACATTCTCAGGAAATAGAAGAGGGCAGGTGGTTGCAGGCCCATGCTTTCCTCTGCAGCATACCAATTTTATGGTGGTGCCAAGGATATGAGAAACTGAGAAATTGCCAAGCATGGTCACAGGACCCAAAAGTTTGCACATTTTTGAAACAGAGCATCTTCACTCTGTGTTTCCCCATGTCCAGCTGTCAAAACATGGGATTATGAGTGCCACTGCCTAAAAGGGTTTCTTTAAAGCATGGGATACACTGAAATTAACGAAGGATAAGTTGTTCCCTTAATGTAATACGATGGCAAGTAAAACTTCCCACTCCTTACTGTACCAGTCCTTATTTTCACCCTCCATCTCCTGCTCATATTCTGAAAACAAACAAGCAAGGCTTCCCCTTCCCCCAATCCATACCTTAAGAATGTTGGAATCTGACTTGTACTTTTTGAGATTTGGTAGCCTACAATGCCAGACTCCCATCATTTGATCCCTAACAGTAAAACAGCATGCTGTCCACAGTTGGGCTGGATCAATGCAAGTATTCAAATGGTTGGGACAGCAGAAACTAGAACAGCCTGCGAACTGAAAACATTGGCCACATCTCCACTGGCAGACAAGGAGAGTGGAAAAATATGTTTTTGTTCTCTGGGATTTATACCAGCTCTCCAACAGCACAAGACAGTTTTGGCTCCAAGGTTCTCCCACCCACGCTCATGGAAAAGTGACATGAAATTTCTGAAACAGGCTAATTAAAGCAAGATTGCTTCAAAAACATTTTTAATAAAAAACAGCTCCCTTGGCAGCATGGCAAAAAGCCTCCCCAAATGTGCAATGTATTAGCTGTCAGGGAACTATTTCAGTGCTATTGCCTACTTTCAAGAAGAGATGGAGGGGAGAGGCTTAACAAAGACATAAAAATGATTTGCAGCAAACATGTTTCATTCTTCAGGAATGTCTTGGCATCATACAACAAAAATCAATAAAATAAGAAAATATAAAGGAGTGAACTACAGAAAAGTGATTAATCCTTTAAAGACAAACTCTGGAGGGAGAGCCATGTCTCCTCTGGGTATTGCAGACAGATGAAGGTTAATTTTTACATGCAAGATCTCAACAGCACATTCCATTCCTCTAACTGCAAAAGTTGTGTCTGGGGACAGAATGGTGCTGTCTGTATTCTTCCCTTTCCTGGGATAAAATATTAAGCCACAAAGAAAATAGGGAGGAGGGAGGAGAGAAGAAACCTAAAGAACTGAAAGCTAACATTTCACAACATATTTCTCTGATCAACAAAATATAAACTACAATCAGAAAAAATTAATGTGCATCCTGGTGGTCCAAATTCATCACAGTAGTATTTGAATCTCCGAGCCAAAGCAAAGGCTCCAGAACTACTGGCAAAAGATGTGTACGCTCAAAAACAGATCCAGAGCTTTTTGTTGTTGTTGTTGTTTTAAGCTTCTGAGCCAATGAGCAAAGAGAAAGAACAGACCAACACTTTTGCAATCCAAACCACTAGGGAACAGCTTTCTTTGCAGATGGAAAATAACACAGTCTTCTGCTTGTGGAAGGAAAGAAGAAATTCAGATACAATTTTACTTGGGTAAGAAGGACCTTATGAGATTAAAACAGTCCCAAGTGAGGGTTTCCAGGGTATTCAGACTTCTGCTATCCCCCAAATTTCTCAGCAGTAAAATGTGTGTGTTGCCCTCACAGAAATAGAGCTGGGTATCCTACCAATAGAGCAAGCAAAAGACTACAGAAATTCAAATAATGTGGGTCATCTTGAGACACTGAGATGAGAAAAGCAGACACTTAACTCAAGGCCAGACTCCCCATGTGACCAGGCAGTCTCTGAGAAAAACCAAGATGTACAGTTGGTGGAAGGGGGCATTGAGCAGGTAAGTTTCTCAGACACAGATGAGGTGGCCCCAGCTCTGGATGCCATGAGACATGGTCAGCAGAGGAGAGTGGCCCAATTAGAGGATCAGTGTGCAGTGATGAGGCTTGCTTGTTTTCAGAAGGTCCTTCCTGAAGGGATGAGGCCCAGGCATGCTCATAAGCAGAGTTCTAGATAGGGTTCAGCAAACTGCTCTGTGCACAATCAGAGATTAGTTCTGGTTGTTTTATGCTTTTGATCAATAAAAAACACTTTGCAAGGAAAAGGTCTGTGGCTCTGAATGTGCCAAGGAGGAACCTCAGCTCCCAACAGAAGTGGTTACATGACCTTAGCACAGGGTATTTCCAGACATTGCACAGAGTGTGGAACAACAGTGGAATGATAATAGTGTGGAACAGGAAGTATCTCAAAGAAGAGGTGCTTCTTACTGCCCACCACTTCTCAAATATATTGCTGGGTCTAGGAATATTAGTACAGGCATACACATTCTATAGTCCATGTGGGATAGCAACTGGAAAAGGTATCAATTCCCTGAATAGGAAGGTTATAGCTGGCCTGCATTCTGGTAAAGGTAAAGGTTTCCCCACGACATTACATCCAGTCGTGTCCAACTCTAGGGGTAGTGCTCATCTCCATTTCTTAGGTGAGGGAGCCAGCGTTTGTCTGCAGTTTCCTTATTCATGCAACCGACATGACTAAATGTTGAGTTGCACGGAACACCATTACCTTCTCACTGAAGTGGTACCTATTTATCTAATTGCTTTTGCATGCTTTCAAACTGCTCGGTTGAGAGGAGCTGGGACAAAACAATGGAAGCTCACCTTGTCACACGGATTTGAAGTGCTGACTTTTCGATTGACAAACCCAGTGGCTCAGCAGTTTAAGCCACTGCACAACCTGCGGCCAGTATTCTGATATACATGCACAAAATGTAATAAGTGAGAGGATCTTCCTCACAGATCCAAAATTTGTCCTTCCTTTCTTACCTGCCCTGTTCTACGTCATCTTAAATGCATGTTAAATGTATTCTTTTCCCTTTTTTTTTACACTAAGCTCTTCAATAGTCATCATACCATATTTTTTCATACATATTCCCATACCTTACATGCATACATCTTCATTGCCTTCCAAATCTGTGCATGAAATCACCATATGCACACTATCATGATAAACATAGGAACATTCTGATATTTTCATTTCCTTATTTCCTTCACTGTAATTCTACTCTGGAAATTCTTAGAGGATGAAAATGGCTTTTCAACATGGAGCCAACAGCTGTATCAAGGGACTTATCAGATTAGAGGCCTGACAGAAAGAAAATGAAGAATGGGGCTTTTTGTTGTTGCTGAGAAGACAGCTGCAAATACCCCCAAGTCCCTAAAGATGTGTCTGAGTAGGGGTCACTGCCCACTGGCACTTTACAAAATGCTGACACCCAGGTGTTTAGCTGTAGCTGAACACTACTCTGCTAGTTTAATTTTCAGAAACTGAAGACAGAATATACAAAATACACTTATATGCAATCTAGCATAATTAATAAAATACCTAAAATTGTAGATTTGTAGGGGATTATGCAATACAATCTTGCTTATCAAACATCCTCTCTGCTCTTTGAACTGTACATATAGAATTCTGGAAATCAGAGCAGGGTTTCCTTATGTTAAAATTAGCCTTTGTAAAAAACATGAGAAAATACACCAGCTGCATACTTATAGAACTTGCACATGTTTTACCATGTTTTACTGGCCTGTGTGTGCTATGATTTCAGGCAAGAGACAATTTATCTATTCCAAATAGCTGAAGGAGGAAAATGATGCTTCCTGGAAGGAAAGCATCACAGTCATAAAGCATCTTTCCATAAGGTTACTTCAACTAACTCTTCAAGCTTTTCAGTTATGTACACATTTTAGATCTTTCATGGCAACATTCAACATTCACATTTCAACATCCACACCAAGGACACCCTAACTGGAGGAGTTCAGAATTTCAAGGCCACCATGACAACCATGGAACTGTCCTAGCATGTCACTGGCCTAACACAAGTAGCAGGGCATACTCTAGAATTGGTCCTTTTGGCAGGATATGAGGATAATGCTCTGAGTGTGGGGAATTTTAACTAACCCCTTTGTAATGGTCAAATCCCTACCTGCTAAAATTTAGAATGACAGCAGCTTTTCCCTTCCACAAGGGTAAGGGATCTATTAAGATGGTCCACCCCATGAAGCTAATGGATCCAAATGGTTTCCAGAGGGCTCCAGGGGATTTTCTGGCTAATATAGCTGGCATTCCTGTCAAAACCTTGGTCACACTGTGGAATGCAGAAATGACCACAGCAATTGATATGACTGGAGAAATGAATTTTCTCATGGAGAAATGAACTTAAGATCTCATGAAAGTTGTGGAACTAACATTAGCTGAATTCTTAACTTCCTGCTGGAAATGTACAAAAATTAACATTCTTGTATCTTTAGCAAGTTCACCCCTCTCCTCTTTTTCCATTCTTCCATCCATCAAAGTTGATCTAACAATGGCTAATTTATCTCTACATTTTTTACAAGCTGCTACAGGAATTAATTACTAGTCCCAACTAGTTCTTTAAAGTAGCCTGAGAAGGAACTAACTTGAATGTGCCAATCAGCACCTCTGCACTAAAGCCAGGCATGTCTCTAGGCTAAAGTTCAGCTGCCAACATGTCAAAAAGACTGGCAATGATAATCTCTTTTAGACAGGGTGCCTCTGGATAACAGGAAGGGTGCTGTGTATACTTTGGTGACAGGTCTCTTATGAAGAAAGGGAGAAAGAAACTCACAAGCATATACCAAATTTAAGAGAAATCTTCCAGGGTTTGGGGCACGGGGAGATCCTGAATAAAATCTCTTTTTTCACTTCCCAAAGGCTTGGAAAAACACAGTAGGACCACAAGCAAAGGTGGAACCAAGACAGAGCAAGGATCAGATAACAACAAGGCATGGCAAGACCAGAGGCAAAGAGCATTAGGTATAAGCAGGTGACGACGCTGCAAGACTGGAGGTAGAAACCCAATGAACAACACTAATCAGCTACTGCAGAGTCAAGTTGCTATGGCAAAGATGGGCAGAACCAATAAGCCTTTTACAGAGTTCCCACTCTCAACTTGTCTGCTTGCTTACACAGCTCCTAATTCTGCAAGCATCTACAGATCTAATGCCAATCCTGTGGGTACTTACAAGACAGAGCATGCTGCCTCCTCTATCAAGCCACTGGGGAAGATGCACAGCTCTACAGATCCTGACACAATGGCACCCCAGGGTTTCAGGCTGGAGTCTTCTCCACTCCTGCTTGATAATGCCAGGGATCGAAGCTAAGGGGTTGTGTGTGTGTTCATATATATGGAGGGAAGCAACCAGATGTGCCCTTTTCTTGCATACATGAAATGGAAATATGTGATTTTATTGAGGCAATATTTATTAATGTAAATAATAAAAAATCACAATCACTATAAATCATCATGGTATGGATGAAAATATATTATGTAATAAATAAAACCATTACATACTTCTCCACATAGACATACAGACAATATGGACACTAAATGAATTGACTTTTCCTTCCACACAGGGTGAATCTGCATATTATGCTGCCTATGAAATTTGAATCTTCTGTGTTCGAATTCAAGCCAGCTTGGGGAACAAAATTCTTTCCCAATCTAAAATAAGGCTTCAAAAAGAAACAGTCAACCTGGTTTCTCAGGAGTTCTTCCATTCAATTATCAAAGTTTTCTAGGTCCATTTCAAAATTCCTTGAGTGAGTCCTGAGGCTACACAGTAAATAACTGTCAAATGTTCAGTTGTAATTGTAGTCTAAAATGCATATACATTTGCTGAACTTCACCAGCCTCATTTCGTTTCTGAATGCTAGCAAATTAACAATATCTTCATCTATGCACATATCTACTTCTGAATATGAATACTGCACATGGTTCATTGGTTTTTCTAGTTCTCACACAACAAATATTGAATTATTTAACCCATAATTTCTGGGGCTTCATGACAGATGTGACCACTTCTGTTTTTTGTAAACAATCTCCAATTAGTGCAATTAGAGGCTATGAGTGTGATGTGCAAATTTGGACTGCTGGGCCCTTTAGGAGGAAGACAATGCAGCAGTTAAAACATGATTTGTTGTTGGGCTGCTTGGCACCTAAACAACCAAGAGGTTGAGGCTTGCATACTACACAAACAGTTGCTGATTGTGCAAACTGGAGTTTACAGAAAGCAGAGGAGCCTTGTACATGGCACATGCCACTATTATATGTGAACTGACTGTTGTTTTTTTATTTTGATTAAAATACTGACCATAGCTTCAACAGCAATAAAACCAGCCTGGATCTAAGCACCAGATGTTATGGGCATTCATGAGATTTACTAGAAGCTCAGTAGTGAAAGTTTGTTCCCTCTTCGTCACTGGGCTGGAGAGGAAAGTCACCAGCCAGGTAAGCTGAACAATGACAGCTTTGTTCACATTTTTAAAAAATGTGAAAACACTAAGGGAGGCTCATAAGCAAAACAACTATGCTGAGAGGCAGAGCAAGCAGCACTTTCCCAGTCTCTCTTAAATGCAAACCATGCTTTGAGTAATCCCATCCACCTTTTCACTCCCCTCCTCTATGAGCCCACAAGCAAAACACAGCCCCCATTCTGCTCTGGAATGCACTCTCCGAAACTTAATCTAACTGCAGAGCTCAGTCCAAATCCCCCAAAGACTTCAACCCAATGGCAGGCCCCTCCCACAGAGCCTTGGAGCTGCTGTTCCATTCTATTCTGGTTCTCCCTTTCTAACCCAGCCCAACCTAAACATTTCACTTCTGATTAATATCTTGATGACAAGCCAGTAATTCTTGGCTTTGAAACAAAACCAGTCCCTGTTTTGCACAAATGTATCTCCTTTAGGTTTTTTTTTTAAGGCTTATCTCCTTTATGCATTCCCTCCACACCCTGTGGTGCTCTGTTTCTAGCTGAGACAGGTTTTCAAGGCAGCTCTGTCCAATGACTAATACAGATATAATTTGCCGCATAGGCTCGCTGTGTCAGAATTCTTAACTCTTAAACAATGCCTGTATCCCAATTTGATTACACCATTTACTCAATAGAAGACTAAAGTGGGGATGTTACTGGGAGACTGGTAAAGATGTGCTATGAAAAGAGCCCTGTGCAATGTACTGCATGAGTATTAGTCCAGCATAAGGTACGGGTTCAAAAAAATGGCATCTCCCATGTTTGAGAATGAAGAGTGCCCAGATCATCTGACAAAGTTCAGAAATATGACCACACTCCCATGCAGGATCAATAGGCACAGGCAGATGCAGTAGGTTGTAGTTTGAAGCAAAGAAGCAAAGCTACTCACTGGCTAATGTCACCATGGTGGGGACGCTGGCAACAACACCTTCAGGCACACGGGCCATGCACTGGTATTGGCCCACAGTATGGTTGTTTAAGGCAGCAATGGTGAGCAGTCTCTGATCAATATGGATCCCCAGAACATCATCTGAGTGAAACAGTTCCCTTCCGTTCAATCTCCATGTAACATTTACTCTCAGAGGCTCGACCACACATCGCAAGGTCACCAAGCCACCATGCTTCTGGACCACAGAAGCAGGTTGAACAGTGACCTGAAGAGATTCACCTGTACAGAAGAGACAGACAAGAAACCTTGATGAGTGCTGACTTACACTATCTACTGTATGTATTCCAATTGCAGATACCCTCCAACCCACCTACTTATATGCTAATCACCTTCAAGTCCTTAAGCTTCTCATGCATAATGGTTAAGAGCACAACTCCATAAAATTGAAACTAGATGATGCAGATATCATCACTTCTACAGGCTTAACACTAATGTCATTCAGTGGCATTACTTGTTGGGTTCTTGTTGACAAGAACTTGAAAATATATTCCTGTCAAGTATTTAGTCTCATTTTAGGATTATTTTCAGTCTGAAGGAGGACACTATCCTGAGTAATCATGAGTTTTTAAGTAACTAAAGGCATGTTGAACCAAATTCCTACTTTGGTTGCATCGCTTGTCCTTCCTGCTATTATTACTTGTGAGTGCTCTCTCACTTCAGGAATGAGAAAGAACATACACAGATGCACTGTAAAACTCAGTTTTGTTCCTACACCAAGAGAAGCAAACCATATGCAGATAAAAATGTAAGTATCTAAATGTTCAGGTCACTAAGGTCCATCACTTTCTTTTTTTACAGGGCTAAAAGACAGCTGCCCAGACAGCTCACAAGCAGAAAATAACACAGATCTACTATCTTGTTTCTTTTTTTCAGCCGCTTGGCAATCTGAGTTGTACAGAATTTGGTGGATTTACCATTTGGCTGCTCACACAAGGACAGTTCCTGCTCCTTTCCAGAAAGTAGCAAATTCCATGATTCAGACAATGATTCCAAAATGTTGGCATGGGTTTCACAAGTTGTTGAAAAGCCATCTAGGTAAGTAACTGCTGAATGACTGCAAGCTGTTTAAAATAATGCCACAAAAGATGGGGAAAGCAATGTCTGAATGCAGTGGTACAACCAATCTGCATGACCCCTCCATCAGAATCACAGTGTGTGGCTACATGAGAGATGGTCAGCTCTGTTGTGGCACTCCAGTTATGGAATGCTCTCCTCTGTGAAGCTTGCCTGGTGCCTACACTGAAATTTGTTCCAGTGCAAGACAACAATTTCTTTCTTCTCCAAGTTTTTTTAAAAACATCATAAAGTTTGTTATATTTTAATTCAGCTTTGTTTAGTCACCAAGTTGTGTCCGACCCTTCATGATCCCATACAGAACATTCCTCCAGGGTCTCCAGTCCTCCACCATTCCCCAGAGTCCACTTAAGCACACACCCACTGCTGAAGTGACTCCATCTAGCCACCTCATTCTCTGCTGCCCCCTTCTCCTTTTGCCTTCAACTGTTCCCCACATCAGGGTCTTCTTCAGTGGGTCCTTCCTTCTCATTAGGTAGCCAAAGTATTTGAGTTTCATCTTCAGGATCTGACCTTTTAAAGAGCAGTCAGGGTTGACTTCCTTTAAGAATGATTGATTTGATTTCTTTGCAGTACAATGGACTGATGGGAGTCTTCTCCAGCACCACAATTCAAAGGCCTCAATTCTTCAGCACTCAGATTTCCTTATGGTCCAACACTCAAAGCCATACATTACAACTGGGAAAACCATAGCTTTGACTATATGAAACTTTTGTTGGCAGAGTGATGTCTTTGTTTTTTAGCATGCTGTCTAGATTTGCCATCACTTTCCTCCCAAGGAGCAAGCATCTTTTAAATTCTTTACTGCAGTCACCATCTGCGGTGATCTTGGAGCCCAAGAAAATAAAATCTGTCACTACCTCCATTTCTTCCCCATCTGTTTGTGAGACAGTGATAGGACTGGATACCATGATCTTAGTTTTCTTAATGTTGAGTTTCAAGCCAACTTTTGCACTCTCCTCTTTCACCTCTTATCAAGAGGCTCTTTAGTTCCTCTTCACTTTCTGCCATTAGAGTGGTATCATCTCTGAGGTTGTTGATATTTCTTCCAGAAATCTTATTTCCTACCTGTGCTTCATCTAGCCCGGCCTTTTGCATGATGTACTCTGGATATAAGTTAAATAGGCAGGGGGACAATATACAGCCTTGCCATACTCCTTTCCAAATGTTGGCCAGTCAATAGTTCTGTGTCCAGTTCTCACTGTTGCTTCTTGACCTGCATATAGGTTTCTCAAGAGACAAATAAGATGGTCTAGTACTCCCATCTCTTTAAGAACTTGCCACAATTTGTTGTGATCCACACAATCAACGGCTTTAGCATAGCCAATGAAGTAGTAGATGTTTTTCTGGAACTCCCTAGCTTTCTCCATGATTCAGCGTATGTTGGCAATTTGATCTCTAGTTCCTCTGCCTCCTCGAAATCCTGCCTGTATTTCTGGTAGTTCGCGGTCCACATACTCCTGGAGCCTAGCTTGTAGGATTTTGAGCATAACTTTGCTAGCATGTGAAATGAGTGCAATGGTGCGGTAGTCTGAACATTCTTTGGCATTGCCCTTCTTTGCAATTGGGATATAAACTGACCTTTTCCAGTCCTGTGGCCACTGCTGAGTTTTCCAAATTTGCTGGCATATTGAATGTAACACGTTAACTGCTTTGTCTTTTAGGATTTTGAATAACTCAGCTGGAATACCGTTGCCTCCACTAGCTTTGTTGTTGCTCAGACTTCCTAAGGCCCATTTGACTTCACATTTCAGGATGTCTGGTTCAAGGTCAGTGACCACCCCATCGTGGTTACGAGGGACATTAAGATCTTTCTTGTACAGTTCTTCCATGTACTCTTGCCACCTCTTCTTAATCTCTTCTGCATCTGTTAGGTCCCTACCATTTTTGCCCTTTATCATGCCCATCTTTGCATAGAACGTTTCCTTCATATCTCCAATTTTCTTGAAGAGATCTCTGGTCCTCCCTATTCTATTGTCTTCCTCTATTTCTTTGCACGGTTCATTCAGAAGGCCTGCTTATCTCTTCTAGCTATTCCCTGGAATTCTGCATTCAGTTGGGTGTATCCTTCCCTTTCTCCCTTGCCAATCGCTTCCCTTCTTTCCTCAGCTATTTGTAAAGCTTCCTCAGACTGCCACTTTGTTTTCTTGCATTTCTTTTTCTTTGGGATGGTTTTAGTTGCTATCTCCTGTACAATGTACAATGTTATGAACCTCCCTCCATAGTTCTTCAGGCACGCTATCTATCAGTTCTAATTCCTTAAATCTATTTGTCACCTCTACTGTATACTCATCAGAGATATGATTTAGGTCATACCTGAGCGGCCTAGTGCTTTTCCCTACTTTCTTCCATTTAAGCCTAAATTTTGCAACACGAAGCTCATGATCTGAGCCACGGTCAGCTCCTGGTCTTGCTTTTACTGACTGTATAGAGCTTCTCCATCTTTGGCTACAGAGTACATAATCAATTTGATTTTAGTGTTAACCACCTGATGATGTCTATGTGTAGAGTACTCTCTTGGGTTGTTGGAAAAGAGTGTTTGCTATGACCAGCATTTTCTCTTGACAAAATTCTGCCAGCCTTTGCCCCGCTTCATTTTGTACTCCAAGGACAAACTTGCGTGTTATTCCAGCAACTATTCCAGTAAGAAGACTTTTGACTTCCTACTTTGGCATTCCAAACCTCCATGATGATAAGGACATCATTTTTTGGTGTTATTTCTAGAAGGTGTTGTAGGTCTTTATAGAATTGATCAACTTTATCCTCTTCGGCATTAGTAGCTGGGGCATAGATTTGGTCTACTGTGATGTTGAATGGTTTGCCTTGGATTCAAACTGAGATCATTCTGTCATTCTGGAGTTTGTGTCCCAGTACTGCTTTTCCTACCCTTTTATTGACTATGATAGCTACTCCATTTCTTCTTTGGGATTCTTGCCCACAGTAGTATATATGAGGGTTATCTGAATTAAATTTACCCATTTCTGTCCGTTTTATTCCCTGATTCCCAAGATGCTGACGTTCATCTTGTTATCTAGATTAGTCTTGTTATCTGATGTTTGACCACATCCAACTTACCTTGATTCATAGATCTTATATTTCAGTTTCCTACGCAGTATTGTTCCTCACAGCATCGGTCTTTCCTTTCACCACCAGATACATCTGCAACTGAGTGACCTTTCAGCTTTGACCCTGTTGTTTCATTCTTTCTGGTGCTACTAGTACTAGTCCTCCGCTGTTCCCCAGTAGTGCACTGGACACCTTCTGACCTGAGGGGCTCATCTTCCAGCCCCTTCACTATGGCAAGGCAGTGATCCATGAAGGGGTTAATTCAGCTAATACCACTTAAATATGGTAAATTTAAGACAGTTTATATCAGTGCTTCAAGCCTATGCATTTACAGCTATTTGGGTTGTTTAGCTATTTAATGTGTTTTTACTTGCTGACATTAGTGTTTAGTCTATACAAATACATGTGTGCACACACTTTTTTCTTTTTCTTATTTCTTGTCACTCTGAGTACATTTCTGGTCATAGCATGACATATACATATAATGTAGAGAACTATATCTGAAATCTCTTTAAGAAACAGAAATAAGGTCCCGCTCATGAAAATGCATCAGCTATATCTAAGTAAAATGGACTAAAACATAAAAAACTCACCAAAATTTGCAATGCAGCCAGATGATGCTAAAAGGAGAAAAGCGATAGCAGTCATTGGTCTTTCTGCCCCTGGTATCATAGTCAGCCCATGCAGAGGAGCCTGGAGCAAAAGATACCAAGTGGAGTTCCCATAAGCTGTCCCAGAATACTTAAGCACTGGGTTTCAACTTTGTTAGGCACCCTGGATGACAGAAAGAGAAAGGAAAAAAATACATTAGTCAAGAGGCAGGATAATAAGCTTGCTGATTGAGTTACATTCTCTCTACAGATCCAGAATTCAGTCCCAGTGGCAAAAGGTTACAGTGACTCTTAATATTAATGAGTAAAGAGAAATGTGCAGAGAAATGAAGGTGGAGGGCAGTACTCCCTGGTCTTTTAAATCCTGCTTTTCCTTCAGCAAGCTTCTAAAAACAAAGTGGGCATTTGCAGGGGAGAATCAACGAGCTCTTGGAAAGCTAATCACCATATAGCAATCCTGCTTATTCTCTCCTATGAATGCTTCTCCCCCAGTCCTTTATACATCTAGATCTGGGGATAAGCATCTATCCAGGTACAGTGCAGTAGTACAGCAGCAACTTCAGAAGGATTACACAACAGTACAAGAGTGCAGGAAAATACTAATGTGTTCACTTTCCACATTGTGAATTCTAAGGAAAGCCGTATGCGGCAAGACTGAGGGAGCTGGGTCTTTTCAGCCTGGAGAAGAGGAGAGACAGAGGAGATCTGTTGGCAACATACAGGTATGTGAGGGGGTGTCACACGGAGGTGGGTAGAGATCTGTTCTCCCCTGCAGAGGAAGGCAGGACACGCTCCAATGGAGCGATGCTCAGGGAGCTAAGGTTCAATTTGGATGCCAGGAAGTACTTCCTGACAGTTAGGACCTCGAGGGTATGGAATGGGCTTCCACGGAAGGTGGCTGAGGCCCCACCGGTGAGGGTGTTCAAGGATAGGCTAGACATGTACATGGTGGACATGTTGTGAGCAGAGCCAACTGGAGCCGGCTGTAAGACCAGATGGCCTGGGAGGCCCATTTTGATTTGCTCTGTTTCTATGTTTCTAAGGATGAAATCTGATGCATTCTGAGACAGAAAAAAACAGGCCTACAACTCCCACCATGCATTATAGAGCCATGCTGTCTGAAGAACGCTGGGAGTTGAAGGAGGTTTTTTTTCCCAGTATAAACAAGTATAAGATTGTGCTCTAATGCAAAAACCAGTAGATTCCCACCACCACTCAACTTCCATTATGTTTAGTCCTTCTATCCTTCTTTCCTTTTTAACACCTTTGTCCCACTTTCTGTCACAATGTACAAAATAATTATAATAATAAATTCTATTTTTCCTTGCTTTGACATTACTTTAATGTATAAACACCCACTCCCTCTGCATTTTTTCTGACATCATGTCATGATTTTATACACACAAACCTGGCCAAGGGTTCCCAGTCTTTTTTGAAATAGTGGAGTCCTAATCTGTTAAGTCACACTTGTACCATTGTTTCTGATATGTTTAATTCTAAAGTAAAATCTCTATCAGCTAGAATATAATTTAGCTTTTAAAAGATTCTTCCACTTTCTGCTCACATTAATGATATTCACTCTAAGAAGAGAGGACAGGTTCACACATCATGTTAAGCAACCCTGCAAATAAGCCACAGGAGGCTGAACCAACCTGTCCATGGGTTGTTCTCCCCGTTCTTTCCCTGAGATATGTGCTGGTTCTGGCTCATATCTCAGTGTCCTTTCTCTCTTGTAAGAATGTGAAAGTGAGTGGTGGGGGTTTGCTGCTCTTGCTGCTTGAATCTATAGGTATTCCCAACAACCCACAAAAAATTGACCTGCCAGGTCTGGACAGCACAGCAATTCATGTGTTGAACAACCCCTAGAGTGCCTTACCATGAAAAATAAGCTGTCTTGCAAAAACTACACTGGGTTTGGATGACACAACTACCCAGCATGGCTGGTTACCCATCATGGCTTGTCACGTCATGAAAGTGAAGTAATTAAGTAGATAGCACACAAGAAGCTCAAAAATGTTTTTTTTTTTTTTTTTTTGTGATGGTTCAAAAATGCAGTCCTAATATCTTCACTCTCATATGGGTCCCACAAAATGCTGGCTGATATGTTGAAAAAAGAAGAGAGCTGCGGGGTGTGGGGGAGAGGAGGAACAGAATATCCTGGAAATGTCCTGGCTGACTGAAACCACTCTACACAGCAAAATCAGGCTACCTTTTTTTGGAATTAAATATGCTAATAAAAGCCAGAAATCCCCTGTGATTCATTGGGATAAAATGTTGAATAATTTAAGGTAATACAGATTCTAATGATCTTCACCTTGCTATGAAAGCAGCTAGAGGTGAAGAAACTGGGTGGTTCAAAACTGCCTTCTCACAAGGACTGTTAACAAGTAGAAGTCATAAATGGGGTTATTGCAGCACATCACATATCTGCCTTCCATGATGTCAACCAATATCTTAATAACATCAGTCAATGCTATAGTAAGACATCCACCGGCTGCTTTCTCCATAAGTTACCATAGCTGGAAGACCAAAAAACTGCTACACGTATCATACAAGTAGTAGCATATGACTACAGTGAAGTAACTTTGGCATTTTAGCATACAATCTTGCAGTTATTTAAAATTAGGAATACTAATGCCTCTTAGAAAATTCAATAGGTAAAAGCATTTAAAAGCCTTCAATCTTTCATTGACCTTTACAATTTTTAAAGTACCATTCAGTAAAGAACATAGGAATTGGCCATATGCTGCATTCCTATTAGTGATCTGCATGATTGTGTACCTCCCAGGCAGTTTCTTTTACATTTGTAATAAAATTAACATGAGAACAACATGGCCATATTCCTCTCCTATTGTATAAATACTATCCACCACAAATGAAACATCTCAAATGAACAAACATGCTATTAAGGATATTTTCAGGACATAAAATCAGAACACGTCCAATCAACTGCAGCTTAACTAGTTTGTTTGCCAAGTTCTACTACCTCTTTACTTGGCTGTGGTTACAAAAAATATTTTGGTTTAAACAGAAAGACAAATGAATAGATTTCCTCAGCCCTTGGGCTCATTTTTATACAAGCATTCAATGCTGGCAAGAAAGGAGCAAAACAGGAAAAGAGTTTTGGAAAATTACCTTAAAATTAAAGAGACACAGAAATGAGTGACACAAGGATACATATGTATAGACTGGCACAGTATACATATGAGGCTTCTTCTTTTTAAAAAGAAATTTAGATGAATATATACACATTGGACTGGATCTAGAATCTAGATTCTAGAAGACAATCCTATACAATCCTATACTCATTTATGAGAGTAAGTCCCATTTCCATGAACTCAATAGGATTTGCTTGTGAGTAATCATGGTTATGGTTGCACTTGGGGATTACAGAAATTTAGTTTTTTCTTGCAAATCATATCAGTGTGTCTCTGTGCACAAGCATGTGCCCACTGAAATATCTGCAAATTGTCAAACACATGCTTGTATTCATCTCATTCCCAATTCCTAGTTCAATTTGTGCAAATCTCCCATTCGTTCACTGCTCAATTTGCGCAAATTTCCTATTCATACAAAACAAATAGTGATTACAAATGGGAATGGGAATCAGGTAGGAAACAAATAACAAGATGATGCTCAGATAATTCTAGTGATCTTGCACACTATTTGTTTGCCTATTCCTAGCTGCACTATAAGTTAGTATTTAATTAGTAGTCAATTTGATAGTCACATATAGATAAATGGCTCATACTTGTGACTTAAGTCCCATTGATTATAAGGGAACAGTACAACTAAACTACAGTAGAATCCTAAGGAGGTTTATTTAGAGCTAAGTCTCACTCAATGGAGCTTACTTCCAGGTCAATGTGAACAGAATTGCTATCTTAGGCAGAATCCAACCCATTACTTCAGAGACAATATACAATTAGAATATAAAATCTATACTTGTCATGTAGATGAATTTTCAGTAGCATAGTTTTGTTTAAAGCATTGCTACATTTTCTATGTAACAACTAAGTAGATTTCAAGATTTGAAAGCATGCCTGAAAACACTTCAGGTTGACATTCATAACAAAGAAGCTTAAGTTACTAATAAATTATGACATCAACTTTTGAGGACCAGAGTCTACAGTTTGTTCCTTTCAATTATTTTATGAAGTTCTAATTTCAGCATCCATAGCAATGAAGATAATACATTTTATTCTAAACAATCAAGTTCTAGCAAGGTACCTATAGGCACCATTCTGTCATTTTTCAATGAACCTACTGAATTTTCCAGTTGGCATCCATTGAGTTTATACACACAGGAACATGATGGAAATAACGATTTATCTTTTTTGGACCAACCTTCATGAACAAGATCAGACAGGAATCTAAGATTCTGCTGTTTAGCTAAATCCACTGATATATATATTTTGAGAATTTACATGGTAACTTTGAAAAGATAGCCAAAGAGTGCCAAATGTAATATCCAAATAGGCCTGATCCAGTCAAAAATTAAGCATGTGTAAGTACCACAGACCCCAATCAAAGAGATTTAAGCCTTAGCTCTATCATAAAATCAATAGGCAGGATTGTTACCTTACTTATTTTACCAGAAAAGTCTGTGACTCTTTCAAAAAATGAGCAGCAGTTCTACTGGAACACAGAATGAAAAAGAACAATTTTGTTTGTATAAATACTTTCCTGTCTGATTAAAACAACAATTTCCTGTCAGTGGACTAAGGGCATGGAAGTCACTTTTCATTTCAGTAAGTCAAAGGACTAAGCTATTAGCACCCTGAGATTAAGGAGGGTGAATCAGATGCATGGGGTATAAAAACTAACAAAGTTGCCTGTTCCTCAAGCTATTCAACTGGAGGTGGGGGTGGAACCTGTATACATTTTTTTAAAAACAGGATGAAGGAATGGGATAGCGGCAAAAGAAGATGGAAGGAGTCCCATGATTCTAACATTTGGAGCAATAGACGTGTTTGTTGATTAGAATCTGAAGGTTTTATAGAGGAAATGCTGCCTGCAGCTCCAGAACCCCTGCTGCTTAAATAAGGGCCAGTCAAGCAATTCTTGTTACTACCACACCATCTGAAATTTATGAGGAGGGTCCTAAATGAAAAACAGTCATTGTTTCAGCTGCTGGGCATGAGCAAACCCCTTAGGAAAGGATGAAGGCAGGGGGAGGGAGAAGGTGTTTGGGTAAAGACATGAAAAAAGAACTCAGACAGGAGGCAGAATGGTCAAAGCCTTAAGGTGATTTCCTGTCTAAGGGCAACTGCAATTCTGCCAGATCTTCAGTCAAATCAACTGGCTTATCTAAGCTTTACAGCTGAGTAAAGCTCAAATAAAGCTTCTGTATGCACTTTTTTGAGATAAAATCCCACTGAATCTCTGAGTCAGCTATGCATACATTCACACAGCATCAAACACAACCAAGTGTATTTCCGGGCTTGCATGCCTGGGTAAGGTTGTGCAAGGGAAAAGACATTCTTAGTACTACTGAAATTCAACATTTTGTTCACCCTGTGCAACTGCATACTGAAAGTGTACCTTTCCAGGTGTGGCCACAGTTCAGAGAATAAGTCAAACCTTGGTGTGCACCAACCACAGTTTAGAACCCAAACAACAGTTTGAGCTTTCAAATATACACACAAATGATGAATCTACTTTCATTTTCTCTGGAGTACTCTAGTTTCTAGAGGCAATATTCTAAGTTGCAGAAGGAACT